GTATGATACGCCATTGGAACCACAAGCCGATGAAGCTTCTTTAACGCTAAACGTACCGGTATTTTACACACACCTATTCTTACCATGAGGGGGTGAAATGTCTCTTCGTGATATATACGGTACGCAAAGAATTTTTCTCGGTAGAAAATAAGTTAAAAGAAAAATGGACAGCGAGAAATTAAACAATCAGATAATATGAGAATTTACAGAAAGATGAGCGAAAGAAATAACGAATGTACGGTTTATAAAGAAAATTTTTCAACTCGTACCCCTCTTTAACCAAAAAATCGTCGAACGCAAAGGGTTAAACTCCACATGCGTTCATTTTTTTGTATTTTAATGAGTTTTCCCGTTTAATAAATAAATAAATTAAATAAAAAAATAAATAAATAAAATAAATAAATAAATTTTGAAAGGGATCAGAGATCATTTAACACCGCTCGGTACGTTTAGCGTTAAAGCAAGAGTACCAAGAATGGTAATAAAAATGACAATTACTTTGTATCATAATATTCCATAACGTTCGCTTTCGTAAATGAAAGTATCGTAGGAATGGAATAAAGGTCTGATATTTTCGGACCCAACTGACTTTCTCGTTTCAACTGTATCTCGCATAGCATCGAACTATTCCGATTTAACCATGGAACAACGTAACAACGTAACAACATAATGGACAAATCGACGAGGATGGACCATCCACGGTTTTCAAGCATGGTCTCCATCCGATTCGCTAACGATAAGTATAATGACTGCCTACTATATCTCTACCTGTACACGGAGTTCCATATCGACCCGATTAATTCTTTCTCGGTTAGCTCGAAATGAGCTTAACGACAGGGGAATATGTTGATATTTTCCTTGAACTTTGGTCTTTTGGTTTCCTCCGTTTCGTTCCCCTTTCTTTTCTCCTTTGGGTCGTGCAGTTATACTCCGGCACGGTAGGTTCGATATTCTTAGGTTACGTTGAATTCCGCGTGTTATCCGATTAGATCTCCGCTGGTCGTTAGGAACGGGCTCGACAATAGAAGAGTACGTCGATTCTCTGCCTTTTTTCCTTAGCTTTTGTCTTTGCCCCTTTTTCTTCGTCTTGGTTCTTTATTTCCGTTCGGCTCGCGCGGTTACATGGCCGCGCAATGGCTCCGATATCCTTACGTCGCGTTGCTCCAGTTTCTACCCTAAAACTGCTCCATCAAAGTGTTCCACCGTCTGCATTATGAAAATTCCTGCATCGTGCCGCGGGAATACACGCTTTTCGAGGATCACGTACATATATCGCCACGCTGACGCGGTATCTGGGTTGCAGTTCGCCTAATGTCGTTACGTTATGATGCTGGATCTCGCGGAGGTTCTCAGTTACGCTCGTTGATACCGTCGCGATGCATTCGGATCTTTGAAACTGTCAAACGACTGAGTTCGATCGCTTTTTCGAATTTTCTTGCAAATCCAAGTGCTTGATATTGTCGCGTTGCAGGGTCCAAGCGTTGCACAGTCCAAGCGTTGCAGGGTCCAAGCTTTGCAGTGTCCAAGCGTTTCAGTGTCCAAGCGTTACAGTAGGATTTTGGAAACCATCGAAGCTAGATTTCGAACGATTCCTAGCATTTTCTGACGAATCGATGGATTTGATACTGTCGCGTTGCATTCGGATCTTTGAAACTGTCAAACGACTGATTTCGATCGCTTTTTCGAATTTTCTTGGAAATCCAAGTGCTTGATATTGTCGCGTTGCAGGGTCCAAGCGTTGCAGAGTCCAAGCGTTGCAGGGTCCAAGAGCGTTGCAGAGTCCAAGCGTTGCAGGGTCCAAGCGTTGCAGTGTCCAAGCGTTTCAGTGTCCAAGCGTTTCAGTGTCCAAGCGTTGCAGTAGGATTTTGGAAACCATCGAAGCTAGATTTCGAACGATTCCTAGCATTTTCTGACGAATCGATGGATTTGATACTGTCGCGTTGCATTCGGATCTTTGAAACTGTCAAACGACTGATTTCGATCGCTTTTTCGAATTTTCTTGGAAATCCAAGTGCTTGATATTGTCGCGTTGCAGGGTCCAAGCGTTGCAGTGTCCAAGCGTTTCAGTGTCCAAGCGTTGCAGTCGGATTTTGGAAACCATCGAAGCCAGATTTCGAAAGACTTCTAACATTTTTTCGCGAATCGATGGGTTTGATACTGTCGCGTTGCATTCGGATCTTTGAAGCTGTCAAACGACTGATTTCGATCGCTTTTTCGAATTTTCTCGTAAATCAAAGTGCTTCATATTGTCGCATTGAAGAGTCAAAACGTTGCAGTCGGATTTTGGAAACCAACGAAGCTAGATTTCGAACGACTTCTAACATTTTTTCGCGAATCGATGGGTTCGATACTGTCGCGTTGCATTCAGGTTTTTGAAACTATCGAAGGCTAGATTTCGATTGATTTTTAACATTTTCTCGTAAATCGAAGTATTCGATAACGAATGATCGAAAAACTGGACGAAAGTTTCGAATCCGACGTGTTCATTATTTCTCAAACGCGCGTGTGTTCTAATATCGATAGACTGCGTGATTTACACGTGATAACGTTGGTAAGTATGTGCTTTGTCGCATTTTATAGTGTTCGTGGTACGCCTGCGTGTGTGGAATGTAACGCGATTTTCAAGCGGTGTTTGATCAATTTTATCGACTCCGTGATTGGAATAAAAATTGTTCATTTGTCGCAGCATACCGTGACTGGAGAAGTGTAAATTTTGCATTCAATTTTTATCACACTTCGCTACAAAATTAATAACGCTTGAGCAACTCGTACGCTAAATCGATTAACAGCGCGAAATAGAAAATAAAAATTTATTTTGGATTCGAGTCGAAAATCAGACAGACGCCTTGACACTAAAAATTTGGAAAAATTCGCAAGACTAAAGGTAATTGCATTGGCCTGTGAACAGGTCGTATAAAATAGCTATAAGAATCATCTATCGACAGTATTATATAATTATTCATTAATAGCGAACTAATTAATTATACATAATTATAATCCACTTACAGTTATTTTTTAATTATTTCCTTAACATGTTTCTTATTTAATTCCCCAACTAAACCAAGAGATTCACATGACACACAGCGAATATTTCATACGAGGCGAATCTCTAACGCGCAGCTAGATTTCTAAGGAAAAGAACGTTACTCTATTTATCGCCGAGATTGCAAAATGTCCAGGAAAAGAAGTTGCGCAATTTAATGAAATGCCGATAAACATAATCATTTCGACAAAAACTACATCGTCATAAGCAAAAGGATACCACCGATTCTATATCAGAAAAACATTCGCTCGTGTATATTTATAGATGATAATACATAGACATAATTCAGAACCGGAAAATCGGTCTGCTAACGATTACACACGATCATATTTCTCAAAATTCGTCGCAATAGCGTCGCGATGCTATCCTAATTCCATCACAGAAAAACACTGCTCATCCATAACACACGAACATAATTCAAAACCGAAAAATCGGTCTATTAAGGATCATGTACAATCACGGCTTTCAAAATTCCCGCGCAATAGTATTGCGACTCTATACCAATTCAATCGCAGAAAAACATTCGCTCGTCTATAACACACGAACATAATTCAAAATCGAAAAATCGCTCTATCAACTATTACGTACAATCACGAATTTCAAAATTCCCGCGCAACAGCGTGGCGACACTATACCAATTCCACCACAGAAAAAATATTCGCTCCCTTATAGTACGCGAACATAATTCAAAATCGGAAAATTGGTCTATCAATAATTACGTGTGATCACGTTTTTCAAAATTCCCGCGCAACAACGACGCGACGCTATACCAATTCCATCGCAGAAAAAATATTGGCTCCTGTATAGTACGCGAACATAATTCAAAATCGGAAAATTGGTCCATCAATAATTACGTGTGATCACGTTTTTCAAAATTCCCTCGCAATGGCGTCACGACGCCATACCAATTCCATCGCGGAAAACTATACCATTCCCTCGTCCATAACGCACGAACATAACTCGAAACCGGGAAAATCAGTGCATCAACGACCACGTGGGATAACGTTTCCCAAAATTCCCGCGCAATGGCATCGCGGCGCTACTCGCGACTTATTCGCTACTCGCGAGGTTATGAAACGCGCACCCTTCGATATTCGCGACTGGGAACCCCCGTTAGGCCCTCTCGAAATCGCCCTATTACGCTGGGTGCACGCTCGTGATGGGGCATTTTAATTGGGCGGTGGATCGCGAAGAAAACCGCGTCTGCGTGGCGGCTTATCTGCGCCGGGACCTCGTTATCGGCACGCCGATAGCCCGCGAGGAGGAAGCCGGCGTCGCGGAGGAGTAGGAAGAACGGCGGTCGAGGACGAAGAGTATGCGAACGGCGCGCGTGCACGGCCACGTATACGCGCGCGGATGTCTTTACGAGCGAATGATGCATGCGTTCACGTGAGCACAGACGCGAGCGCATACCAGGAAGAATCTCGATGCGTAGTGCCGTGGAGAGCGGGGTCCCGAGCTACTCGAGCACACACCGCGAGCCAGCCAGGCCTGCGTGGGTGGAGGCCGTGAGACGCGTGCTATGGCCACCAGAAAGCGTCCTCGACGCCCTATTTAACGTAACAGCCATTCCAAACATCGCCAAGTCCCTCGTCCAGATTTTGCAACATTTTTTCCAATTTTTCTCAAGTTTTCCGATGCTTTTCCATGATCCTCGAGGTGTAGGTGTGAGCGGAGATTCCAAGAGCTTTGGGATTCGTTGATAGATCGGGTGCCATGTTGGTCACTCGTGACTGGAATTCGCGTTGGTAGCGAAGCCATGACGGTTAGGTTGACCGCTTCGACTACGATATTTTGTAAGAAATATATTTCATGCTAAGGAAATCGGGAGAAACGTAAACATCACAGGCGAGAGTCACGATTCGTAGATAGGGCTCGATGTAAACATCACAGGTCAAGCTCCTGCTTAGTTTTCGCCGATGATTTCCTGTTTCAGTTGCGTGTTATTCTTCGCCGCGTTCGCACGAAATGGCTCCACGTGTCTCGACGTGTTCCTTGCTGTTGACTATGGCACGCGTCAGTGGAACGTGAATCGTTGGACAAGAAATTAAACCTGTAGTATGGAGTTCTACGGAGTCAACGGAGGGGAAGGAGAGGAAAGAGACACGCGAGTTTTAGGTAAGCAATGGAATTCAATTTTATTTCGATATATTTTATGAAATTCATTGCTAATTGGTTATTTTGCATTTAGAAATTGATTGGTATGTAATATTATTTTCATTCGAGGATTTGTAATCTAGATATGAGCTTTGGTTATCAGGATCCAGTGCCTTTCGCGGGGTGCAGATAATTGGGGTGCCGAACTTAAGGCCAAGGGATTAATTAAATAAAATTAATATCATCGACTGGACAATTTTAAATAATGTAGGTAAGATTGAGCGAGTAGAAATTCGAAAATTCCGGAATTTTGGGGATTTCTTAATGGATTGGGAGCCATGTTGGTCACTCGTGACTGGAACTTACGTTCTCAGTATGGTCACGGTGCTTAGGTTAACAAAATCAAATTAATATCATCGATTGGACAATTTTAAATAATATAGGTACCACTGAGTGAGTACAGATTCGAAAATTCTGGAATTTTTGGGGTTTCTTAATGGATTGGGTGCCATGTTGGTCACTCGTAACTAGAACTTACGTTCTCAGTAGCGCCACGATGCTCAGGTTAACGAAATCAAATTAATATCGTCAATTGCAGAATTTTGAATAATAAATAGGTACCACTGAGTGAGTACAGATTCGAAAATTCCGGAATTTTTGGGATTTCTTAATGGCCTGGGTGCCATATTGGTCACTCGTGACTGGAGCTTACGTTCTCAGTAGGTCCACGATGCTTAGGTTAACGAAATCAAATTAATATCGTCGACTGGACAATTTTGAATAATATAAATATATAGACGATATCGTGAATTATGCGACCATACCCTAAATTGCGCAATACTCCGGTGAATTTCGCAGTTATAGTTAGTAAATACGAAGAATTTTATTCATTCGTGTCTAGTAAACAGATTTTTTAGATTCTTCGTGCATTTAGAATCTTACGCATTTCAAAACTAGAAGATTTTATCATAAATACAATTTTCTTCCAGATGGTCGGAATTGGAATTGCAAATTTCTCTCGTTTGAAGTGCAATGTCGCGATACAATGGATGTTCGCGGTCTCGGGATAGGAGTAACGAAATTATTCGAGGCACGATACACGGTTCGAAAGTAAATTTAACCTTCTCGCTTAAGGATATAATATTGAAATTTTATTTATTCGGGATAAGAGAAAATTACGACTCGCTGCGATTTCTTACCTTGATCCGAATAGCAAGACCCGGATAATTTGGTACAATAATACGGTAGAAAGTAAATAATAAGATACTTCTTACAATCCACCGGTATATCCGAATCACCTTTTCTCTCGAGTATGATTCGTAGGAACCGAGCCTAATAGACTCCATAGACCATCGGACTTAACTTGTTAACTGGATAATTTATCAGTCGGAACTTTCTACGATCGTGGAGCAACTAATTTCTATTGCACGAATTTCTATCTTGTTTTCCACCTGAAATTCGAAGAAAAAAATAAGGTGTATGAGGTACAGGCAATTATAATGAACCTTTTCGATGGTAAGAATCATCGAAAAAGGAATTATTAAGTACAATCGGTAATCTATGCAACGGATTAACTAGAACTTTATCGTTAATCTTCGTTATCGTAAACGATATAATAATAAAACACTTCAATACGATCCTTTTGCTTATTTTAATCACGTGTATATATAATATTAATTATGGTAAAAAGAAAGAAAGGTATTTTCAATTTACATATTTTTATAGAACCGGTGGATCATACTTGTTCCATAATTCAGGAAATTTTTAGGGTATCGATTCCATAATGGCGGGAATATTAGAACGCGTTACTTAAATTATTATTTAAGGTTAGGAAATTATAACAGATGAAAATTTCAATTATACTTGGTAAATAAAAATAAATAAAAATGTCATAAGCGTATATTGCAATATTCTATTACGAATAATTAACCCTTTGAACTCGAGAGGCGCCCTTCAGTCGCCATTTGATAAGATTTCGAAGATCGGTATTAATTAATACGTCAAATTTAAGATAATGTAACGATATGCGAGGTATCGAAATCAAACAATTCTACGTGTCGATTATTATACTATTCCTTATTTACTGCTCAAAAAAATATCGTCAACTTTATAGCAGAAAATCTTCGAACTCCTACTCTTATTTAACCAAAAAATCGTCGAGTGCAAAGGGTTAATATACCTATTACCTTATTACAAATTTTATTAGTTAACAATAAATCAAGCGAGTGTTTTACAGGTCAAAATATTTTCCTTCGGTTTTAGAATCTTAAAAAATTCCACGACCAAAGTGTTCTATCGATATTCAAATTTGTATATACAGGGAGGGTCGGGGCAGTAAGGGACAGGTGCATGAAAAAAGGAAAAGGAGAAATAATGGTACAAAGGGAAAACCAAAGATGGGGAGTGGGATAAGATACGGTTTTAAGTGTGTAAATAAGAGTATGTTTACGCTAGGTTAGGTTAGGATATTGTTATATGTTAGGTTAAGTTATTATTATGGTTGTAGCATAGGCTGTTATATCGTTATTATTGTATTGTTGTGATAGTAGTTATATATTTTATTTTATACAAAATAAGCCATATGTATGGAGGATAAGGAGAGACGGAACCCTTGTAATCCAATAGGAAAATAATAAAAATTTATCTATCTATCTAATTTGTATATAAAAATAAGCTATTTTCTATTCTCTATTTCGTCTCGCCGATAAATTCGCGAGAAAGAAATAGCCAACGTGTGATTCGCGGGCGAAAATAATTTCCTCCGCTTTTAGAATTGCAGAGAGCTCCACGACCAATGTGTAAATTCGCGGATGAAAATAAGCTACCTGCTGTTTTCCGTTTCACGGAGTGGATAGTGATTCGCGGAAGAAAGGAGTGGAAGGAGAAAAGAAATATGCAAGAACCTGCAGGACCAGCAGCAACATCCGTCACCGGCGCACTTCCGTTCACTCGTCTTCCCCGATTGGTATCGCGTTTCCCAGGGCGACATCGGTTCTCACGGGGAACAAACGCGTTTGCACGGCCCTGACGCGCCGCTCCGCTCGAAGCCTTCGATGGTATTCCGGCGCGCGTACGCGAGCGGATCGCGATGCGTTCGGGCCATTTTCACGCGTCACCGTGCCGACGACTTTCACTTTGTTTCCTGTAGCTGCAGGCGCGCCTAATATTCGATTGTTTCGCGCATTTCGAGACGATCTGGACGGTACCGTCGTCGCAGACATCGTCGACGTCGTTGATGATTTTTGACACCGCGAGGGTTAATCGGTATTCGAGTGTTTCGCGCATTCCGAGACGATCTCGAGGTTACCATTGCTATAATCATCGTGGAGATGTCATGTTGGAGATTTTCGATGTCGCGTTGAATCGCTAATTTAGTCGATATTTCACTGTTTTGAGAATTTTTGGAGGACTTCGATGTTACCATCGTCATAGCCATGGCTGTCGTCGTGGTTAGTGTTGTCATGGTCGTTGCTGATTTTTGATACCGCGAGGGTTAATCGATATTCGAGTGTTTCGCGCATTCCGAGACGATCTCGAGGTTACCATTGCTATAATCATCGTGGATGTTGGAGATTTTCGATGTCGCGTTGAATCGCTAATTTAGTCGATATTTCACTGTTTTGAGAATTTTTGGAGGACTTCGATGTTACTATCGTCATAGCCATGGTTGTCGTCGTGGTTAGTGTTGTGGTCGTTGCTGATTTTTGATACCGCGAGGGTTAATCGATATTCGAGTGTTTCGCGCATTCCGAGACGATCTCGAAGTTACCATTGCTATAATCATCGTGGATGTTGGAGATTTTCGATGTCGCGTTGAATCGCTAATTTAGTCGATATTTCACTGTTTTGAGAATTTTTGGAGGACTTCGATGTTACTATCGTCATAGCCATGGTTGTCGTCGTGGTTAGTGTTGTGGTCGTTGCTGATTTTTGATACCGCGAGGGTTAATCGATATTCGAGTGTTTCGCGCATTCCGAGACGATCTCGAAGTTACCATTGCTATAATCATCGTGGATGTTGGAGATTTTCGATGTCGCGTTGAATCGCTAGTTTAATCGATATTTCATTGTTTTGAGAATTTTTGGAGGACTTGGATGTTACCATCGTCATAGCCATGGTTGTCGTTATAGTTGATGTTGTCGTGGTCGTTGCTAATTTTTGACACCGCGATGAAACGCGAGGGTTAATCGGTATTCCACTGTTTCGTGTATTTACCTATGACTTCGACGTTGTCGTTGCTATAGGCATCGTTGACATACTCATAGTTGTTATAGTCGTCCCTGTAGACGCTATTGACGTTCCCATGACCATCGTCGACGTCCTCGTAGAAATCGTTAACGTTCCTATAGCTATTGTTGATATCCCTGTAACTACCGTCCAGCCCCTGTAGACATCGTCGACATTCCTGTAGCCATTGTCCAGCCCCCGTAGACATCGTCAACGTCCTTGTAGCAATCGTCGACATCCCCGTAGCCATTGCCAAAGTCCTCGTAGTAATCGTTGACGTTGCTATAATTTTCGTCGCCATCCCTGTAACCATCGTCCAGCCCCCATAGCAATCGTCGACGTCCAAGTAGCCATCGTCGACATCCCTGTAGCCATCGTCAAAGTCCTCATAGTAATCGTTGACATCCAGGTAGCCATCATCGACGTCCTCGTAGCAATCGTTGATATCCCCGTAGCTATTGTCGACATCCCTGTAACCATCGTCAGCCCTCATAGTAATCGTTGACGTTGGTACAGCTATCGTTGACATCCTAGTAGCCATCGTCCAAGCCTCATAGCTATCGTCGACGTCCAAGTAGCCATCGTCAAAACCCCTATAGCTATCGTCGACGTCCAAGTAACCATCGTCGATATTACCGTAATCATCGTCTGTCATAGTAATTGTTAACGTTGCTATAGTTATCGTCGACATCTCCGTAGCCATCGTCAAAGTCCTCATAGTAATCGTTAACGTTGCTATAGTTATTGTCGACATCCCCGTAGCCATCGTCGACATCCTCGTAGCAATCGTCGACGTCCCTATAACCATCGTCGAAGTCCTCGTAATCATCGTCGTCTTTCCCGTAGCCATCGTCAAAATCCCCATAGCCATCGTCAACGTCGCTATAATCATCGTCAAAATCCCCATAGCCATCGTCAACGTCGCTATAATCATCGTCAAAATCCCCATAGCCATCGTCAACGTCGCTATAATCATCGTCAAAATCCCCATAGCCATCGTCAACGTCGCTATAATCATCGTCGACGTCCCCCTAGTCATCGTCACGGTCCTCATATCCATCGTTGAATTGTCATAGTCATCGTCGACATTGTCCTAGTCATCGTCGACATTGTCATAGTCAACGTGGACGTCGTCAGAGCCATCGTTGACGTCCCCAGAGCCATTGTCGACTTCGCTATAATCATCGTCGACGTGCCCATAATCATCGTGAACGTCGTCATAGTCATCGCGGTCGTCGTAGATTTTGGACACCGCGTTGAAACGCGAGGATTAATCGACGCTCTAACGTCTAACGTAACGTGCATTATGTAAGGGTTGCTCGGTCGTTGCGCAATGCGCGTGCTGAGATAACGATTCGGAGATGGTCTCTGCGGCCTCGCGTGGCTTTCGCGCTGGACCAAAGCGGCACGGAATTTGTTTGGTCGGTTTAATCGAGCTTGAAGGGAAACATCGTTGGACCATGCTTTTTGTCTTATTACCAGGGAGATTCCGTGTCGCAGGGTTCTCCTGGGTTATACGAGCTAGAAAATACACTCGCGAGTCGTCCTTGGTTGTTTTTAGACCTGCCACCTGAAGATTCGGGGTTATTACTATGCTCGTTGTCTCGAATTATTCCAACTTTTGTTTCGATGTTTTCCATTCGTGTTATTTGACTTATGAAGGAAACGGGGGCACCAGGAAAGCATCTTGTTGGGCATCGAATGGAAATAAATTAATTTTGATATGTAATTTAGCAAATAGCATATAAATGGGATTGAATTTTCATTGTTTCCCTGATTCGATGTTATTTCGCGAATAAGAGACCGCCTTTGTACGAATATTTATGCGACTGTATAATTATAATTAGCAAATATTATTCAACGAATAAGAACATTCGAAATAGCTATTATCAAATTGGAATAAACGTACCTTGTCCCAACGTTTTCCTAATTCTACGTATTAAAAATAATAAATCCGTACAATTATTCGATCACGAAGATCACAGTGCAAGAACGTAACTCGATTCTCATCGATCTTCGTTATTTTCCCGACTGCACGTTACTCGATGGACGAAAGAAACGTTCCACGGGAGGAGAAAAACGCGCATTCGATCTGAAACTCGAATAAATCCGCGATCTCGTACACAACGAGAGATCGGTCAAGATCGGTCAAGAGCACATTGAATATTAAAATTGTACGTAAAAAACGGTATACGTGCGCCGTACGTACACGTAAACGATCACGAGATCACGAGGAACGCGTTAGACGCGAGAGAACGGGAAGAATTTCTACGCCGAAAATCATCGTCCGTATCTGAATTTATTATCACCAATTTATTTATTAATTACCCACCTGGAAAAAATGAAAACGAAGAAACAAGCAGCAGAGAAACGCGTTTCCGTTTACAAAAATTCGAATACAGAAATGCGAAAATATCGTGTGATGTGACCAAGAAGGGAACACCCAGGGCCGTACCGAAATATATTATTTCTTTCACCGCGATTATTACACGTGACCATCGCGCGGTTAAATATCGCCGTAAACACCTGCGTGCACTCGGGACAAGAGGAAAGAAAAATTATTCACGTTCCTCTGCATTGCCATTGAAAGCTTAAATACGCGTCAGACGTGCCCGCAAATATTCGTTTACTCGAGCCGCGTTGTGGAAAACAACGAACGCGATAAGCGGTTGATTCGCGGATAAGAGACGAGCGACAGCGGGAACGTTCGCGGCACTTGCAATAATCCTGAACGCCTTAAACCTGCATAATATACGACCGTCTTAAACCAAATGGTGCAACAAAGAACGCCACCGCTGCGCGTCGTTGCAACAATGCGAACGAGCACCTGCCTTTTCGTTATTCCGATTGCTCTTCGGGACTATTCGTCGGAAAAATCACTTTAATCCATTCCTCCGTCGATTGTATATCGACTTACTTTACGATATTGCGCAGACAGTATCGTAATTTCGCGCGAACATCGCGTTTTAAACGTGCATTTCGCGCGTACCCTGCAGCCTCTGGCTGCAACATCCAACATGGCGTCGAGGAAGAACAATTATTCCTCTTTCTCGCTCTTCTTCTCTATTTTTCCTGCATCTTTCGACACCTCGACAGTGTCTTTTATAGGACACCTGTCTCTCGGGTTCGAATTGATATTTTTCAAAAAATTCCCACCACCTGTTGAACATCGCGCTCGTTCGATCTGTTGGACAAATACTCATCGATTTTCTGCTAAACGGACGTACAGCTTCGAATATATTTCATGGATATACAGGGTGGCTCACCAAGTATTACCATCTAGATATACGTCATTATTATTACGCATAGCGAAAAATGTTTTGAATGAATTTGAATGATTTTCGGAGAGGCATATTCTGATGGTACTAATTTGGCTTTGTAGATGGACGTGTAGAGGACATATGAAAGTTATTAAAATTTGTTTAAATGGAATCCTATATTTTTTTATTACATCGTCTGATGTTCCTTCATATTCTATATAAAAAAGTATTAAACTATTTATGTTAAAAAATCATTGTCGCGTAATAATAATGATGTATATCCAGATGGTGATATGCGATGACCCACCCGGTATATTATATTCGAGCCGATTCCTTAACTCGTCTAACGTGTTACAAGAACGAATACTATTTCGCCTGTTTAGGTGGAATTTTGACGTTCATTTTTGACGAACTTTGACTTCGAGGAAGGTACAGATAATTCTGTTTGTAAGGATTTGTAAGATCGAATTGTTGGATCTTTAATCGATACTTTCCAAGGCAACGCGATACAACGTATGCCAATGTAATGGCATAGCCGGCTAATAAATAGCCCACAATCGATACCCATACGATTCGTAGAACAAACAAATTACTCGGTCGTACGTCATATCGTTATACAATGCGACCTATTAACAACGCCACTGTCAATTGCGTTTGATACCACGAAAAACACCAAACCGCGATTTGCTGCCCGATTAACGAGCTATCGTTTTCCTCGATTAATGTACTATAAATGGCGACCTCGTGTTCC